ATATAACGGAGTGAAGCGACTTACAAATATATCAATTGACTGAATTATCAGCAACACACCTTTTGGAATTTGACAGGATCGAATGTAGTGAATGGTTCGAGCACCTCCAATTTTAAGGTGATATCACACAGATCCCCTGTCCACGGGGCTTTGCAGGCGCACTCCCACTCATATAGTTCTGTGTCGATTTTACACTTGCCATTTTTGCCACAAGGATTCGGGTCACACAAGCGTGTAACCATATCAGCAACATCTGAGTTTCCGTTTAAAACTCGTGCTGTGTCGTTATCATATAACACTCGTTTGCTCTGTAACACTCCTAATTCGGTGATGTTCACATCATTAGCTATCAGTCTTCGATCTATCTCTCCAGCACTCCATGTACCTAAGCTCAACTGCATGCCTACGCCAGGTTCTATCTGCATAACCTGGATACTTTTTTCATCTACCTCGATTAACGCGGTTAAATTGACCAGAAACGACCTCACATTCTGCCGTCCATCTAATGTGCTTTGGTTGTACAGGGTATAGTCTCCATCCACCATTATGTTGTATCGGAAACTACAATCATCGCCTGTGTACTGCAACGTCTTATTGCACTTACATACGGGAATGGATGTATTGGTATTACATACACCGTATTCTGTAAAACAGCTTGTATTACCACACCGTATTGTGGCCTGCGCCTCTGCTTGATAATCAAGACATGTTGCCAGAAGAAACAGCGCAACGCTGCTACACCTTAATATCATATTGTTTGTAGAGTACGGAATGGGTGTACACTGCTTGTACTAAATTCGAATCATTGTCTAGACTTTCGAATTGCATAGGACTCTGAGTGGAATATAAACACGATCGGCTGATAGAGGAAGCACACGCACTATTATATGCACATTTTGTTAGCACCGCCGTAACAACACCCATACAGTAGGCTCCCAACACCAAGTCTAAGGGTACGGGATTTGAATTGTTGTTATTTCACACAATACTGGGTATGCATGTACGTTCACAGGATTTGTAAGAAAATCAAGAAAGTCATTCAGCAGAGCGTTGAATGGCCACCGGCCATCGCGGGTCAAAGGCATAAAGAAAAGAGTTATACACATCAGTGATCAAGCCCACAGGTTGGTAGTGGCAACAGCATAGAACTTGGGCACCAAAAGCTATACCCATTCAACATTACCGCCAGCTGTAGGCCTGTAGCCTGTAGCCTGTAGCCTCTGCAGACAATTGCACATGAATAAAATTGTACTGTTTATATAGACCAATGAGATCTGGCAATAGAATCAGTGTAGCACCGGCACGCCGAGTCTACACCGAATATTTACGTTTTGATAAACGTATATATTTGAAATATATATGATTGCGCCATGACCCTCTAGAAGTGTAAAATATACAGGAGAACGGACAGGCCATCAAGATGACCGTGATTACGCACAACGTTTATAAAATTGTAGTCCTATGGTTGTTTCAGTGGGTGCATATTAGAGCCCCGAGGTTCCAGAGTCTCTATAGATTTCTCGTAGGGTATCTCTTAATTACAATAATAGGTCGAATAAATAAACGTACCTTTTAAAATCAGATCCCTGTTTTCATTTACGGATTGATGTTAAAGTCACTTTTAGGGCCGCCCTCAAAGAGCGTATTTGTTTCTATAAAACAAATAGAGAATAAAAATAAAAAGTTCTTGGCAACTAAATAGTTATTGCTAATTAACAGTGGCTACTAGCTTTTGAGCAGAGTAAGAGCACTCCATCTTCAATCTGGTTTATAATATAAAAAAAACATACATAAATATCGAAACAAAAAAATAAAAAGGGGTGCATGATATAAAACGTTATTGTAAAGGCTTATTTTTATACATATATGTACACCGATTGATAAATTTAAAAAAAAACGGCTAAAAACGGGACAAGCGGCTGGGAAAATAGTACGGCATGACAGCGGATTTAAAACGCGAAACGTATTGAAATATAGGTAACTCTCTAGTAAGTAGTAACTACTAACTCGAGAGAGTAGACGGTGGTGAAAAGAAGAAAAAAGGAGCAGACTATTGATTACTCTAGGCTGAGAGCACACTCAGCAGTCAGCACAGTACGCACCACGTGAACAAAAAAGTTGTTACAAAACGTCGCAAACTCGCAATGTATTTTATAAATGTAAACTGAACAAAACCTCCTGAAATCCTCAAATTCAAATCACTGAAACGAGTGAAAAGTGAAAACTGAGTATTAAAGTATTGCCTATTTATTATTTACAGTATGTATGTAAATATATTGTATTGTATCTGTATATATGTAAATATATTGTATTGTATCTGTATGTATGTAAATATATTGTATTGTATCTGTATGTATGTAATATATTGTATTGTATCTGTATGTATGTAAATATATTGTTTGTATCTGTATGTATGCAAATATATTGTGTTGTATCTGTATGTATGTAAATATATGGTATTATATCGGTAAAGTGTAAACTGTAAAGTGTAAACACTCTAAAGTCTAAACTGTAAAGCAAAAGCAATAAATATTGACAAAATTAATAAAATATCAAAACAATGCGAATGAAAACTGAAAACTCATGTCTGAAAACTTGAAAAGCCTCCACTCATCAATTTGTAGAGTACAAATCATCTTAAAAATGTTGTTTAACCTAATAGCTGAAACTTATACACTTACGTCATCGTTGTTTTTTTTTATGATACAGATGTGATTCGAAAAAAGCACGAATGCTCTACACAATCTGATAATGACCCCGTGTTGCACATACCAGTATACCAGCAACATACGTTCGAAAACAATATGTATCAAGATAAGCTCTGTATCTCAGCTACTTCAATCTACAACCGGGTGTTCGTGTATGCATTGACCATTTTGTATAGCCTTTACCGCCTACCCAGGACCCAGGACTCTATGCACCTGATTGCCCTTATACATCGCTTCAACGGCCAGTTAGCAGACTACAATGGATTTAGACGGGAATTACTTGATGAGCTTAAGAGTGACCCCAAATCGTCTGTCTATACAAAGTATCACTATTGTGTAAGCAATGAAGGCGGCACACTAGACGGGATACCGGAAGGATCACAACGTCTGGAGCAAGAAATCACTGAAGGTGCGCATTAATTTCTTGAGTGACAGTCCCGCCCTTAATGAGAATAAATACGCACACCAATGTCGGG